GTTGGCTGTAGGTCTCTCTCATATATGGCCTTTATTATATAGAGGAATGTTCCCTCTATTCCCACTTTGCTGAGTGTTTTTATCATAAATGGGTGTTGTACCTTATCGAAAGCTTTTTCTGCGTCTATTGATATGATCATGTGGTTTTTGTCTTTGCTTTTGATTATGTGATGAATTACATTTACTGTTTTGCAAATGTTGAACCATCCTTGCATCCCTGGGATGAATCCCACTTGGTCATGGTGTATAATCTTTTGGATATATTGTTGGATGCGATTTGCCAATATTTTGTTGAGGATTTTAGCGTCTATGTTCATCAGCGATATTGGCCTGAAGTTTTCTTTCTTTGTTGTGTCTCTATCTGGTTTTGGAATTAGGATGATGCTGGCTTCATAGAAGGAGTTTGGGAGTTTTCCATCCTTTTGGATTTTTTGGAATAGTCTGTGAAGAATGGGGGTTAGCTCTTCCTTAAATGCTTTGTAGAATTCTCCTGTGAATCCATCTGGTCCGGGGCTTTTATTTATTTATTTATTTTATTGACATGGCATTATATTTTATTGCAGTTTTCTGTACGTATATTTTCTATGATTGAGATCATACTAAATATAAAGTTATATTCTTAATTTTATTTTTATTTTTTAAAAATTTTATTTAGTTATTTTTCAAGTACAGTTGTCTATTTTTCCCATCCCAGCCTCCCCCGCCCCTTGCTCCCCTCCTCCCTCCCATTTCCACCCCCCTTAGTTCTCGTCCCTGTGTCCTTCCTATTTGTTTCTCCAAATCCCTCCCCCCTTTTCCCCTTAACTTCCCTTCCTTCTCCCCTCTGGTCACTATCCCCTTGTTCTCTATTTCAGTGTCTTTGTTGTTTTTTTTTTCTGCTTGCTTGTTTGTTTTGTTGGTTAGCTGGTCCGGGGCTTTTGTGTAATGGGAGTTTTTTGATTACTGCTTCAATTTCTTTTGCTGTTATTGGTCTATTCAGGTGTTCTACTTCTTTTTCATTGAGTTTTGAGAGATTATATTTTTCTAGAAATGTGTCCATTTCCCCTAGGTTCTCAAATTTCTTGGCATACAGTTCTTCATAGTAATTTCTTACAATCCTTTCTATTTCTGTGGTGTCAGTTGTAATCTCTCCTCTTTCATTTCTGATTGTGTTTATTTGTGTCAGTTCTCTTCTTTTCTTGATGAGCCTACTTAAAGGCTTGTCTATTTTGTTTATTTTTTCAAAGAACCAAGTCCTGGATTCATTGATCCTTAGAATTGTACTTTTAGTCTCTATGTCATTTAGTTCTGCTCTGATCTTAGTTATTTCCTTCCTTCTACTTGCTTTGGGCTGTTTTTGTTGTTCCTCGAGTTCTTGCAGGCGTAGAGTAAGGTCATTTGTTTGAAATGTTTCTGTTTTCTTTAGGCAGGCCTGTATTGCTATAACCTTCCCTCTCAGGACTGCCTTCGCTGTGTCCCATAAGTTTTGGGTTGTTGTGAGATCATTTTCATTTGTTTCCAGAAACTTTTTGATTTCTTCCCTAATTTCATTCTTGACCCATTCATTGTTTAATAGCATACCATTCAGTCTCCATGATTTTGGGTGTTTTGGGTTTTTTCCTTTGGGGTTGGTTTCCGGTTTCAGTCCCTTGTGGTCAGAGAAAATGCTTGGTATGATTTCAATATTCTTGAATTTGTTGAGGCTTGTTTTGTGTCCTATCATGTGGTCTATCTTTGAAAATGTTCCATGTGCATCTGAAAAGAATGTGTATTTAGCTTCTTTGGGGTGAAGAGCTCTGTATATATCAGTTAGGTCCATTTCATCAAGGGTGTTGTTTAATGCCGCAATGTCTTTGTTGATATTTTGTTTGGAAGATCTGTCCATTTTTGATAGTGGGGTGTTAAAATCCCCTACTATGATTGTGTTGCTGTCTATATCTTTCTTGAATTCTTCTAAGAGTTTCCTTATATATTTTAGTGCTCCTATGTTGGGTGCATATATATTTATGATGTTAATGTCTTCTTGGTGGATTCTTCCCTTGAGTATTATGAAGTGACCTTCTGGGTCACTCTTTATGGCTCTTTTTTTGAAGTCTATTTTGTCTGATATGAGAATTGCTACCCCAGCTTTTTTTTCTTGTCCATTTGCTTGGAAAATTTGTTTCTAGCCTTTCACTTTTAGTCTGTGATGATCTTTTGTCCTGAGGTGGGTCTCTTGTAGGCAGCATATGTGTGGGTCATACTTTCTTATCTTATCCATGACGCTATTCTGTGTCTTTTGATTGGAGCATTTAATCCATTTACATTTAAGATTATTATTGATAGGTACTTATTCATTGCCATTTTTGTACCTGTGTTCCTCTCTGTCTGTCTCTTTTCCTTCCTTTCCTTAAAGCAGTCCTTTTAGTATTTCTTGTAGAGCTAGTTTGGTGGCAGCAAATTCTTTTAGATTTCTTTTGTCTTGGAAGCTCTTTATTTGGCCTTCTATCTTGATTGAGAGCCTTGCTGAGTAAAGTAGCCTTGGTTGTAGGCCTCTGGTTCTCATTACTTGGAATATTTCTTGCCATTCTCTTCTTGCTTGGAGTGTTTCCATTGAGAAGTCAGTAGCTAACCTTATTGGGGCTCCCTTGTATGTTACTTATTTTTTCTCCCTTGCTGCCTTTAAGATTCTCTCTTTGTCTTGGAATTTTGCCATTTTGAAAATCTAAGTTTTTGTTTTTCTTATCCCTTTATTTGGGAGGAGGTGCAAGAATAATTCTTATTTATTTATTTATCTATTTATTTATTAATAAAGAATAATTCTTAACAGGCCTATGAAACCTTTTCTACTGTATTATCATTTGCTGAAGTCATAAAAATAAAATCCAGACTTCCGGCCAAGATGGAGGTGTAGGTAGACACACTGTGCCTCTTCCCAGAACCAAAAGAAGAAAAACAACATATTTAAAAACGGAAAACAACCAGAATTGACAGAAAGCTGAACTGTATGGAAGTCTGACAACCAAGGAATTAAAGAAGAAACATTCATCCAGACCCACAGGAGGGGCGGAGATTGGCAGCCAGGTGGAGAGGACTTGGGGCAAGGCAGCAGCTGGTGGACCTGGTGAGGCAGCAGATTGCATGCTGGGCAGTCCCACATTTGCATGCACATGAATCCAGATGAACAACTGGGGAGCGAGACAGACCACGCAACCCAGGTTCCAGCATGGGGAAATAAAGCCTCAAACCACTGACTGAAAACACCTGTGGGGCTTGAGGATGTAGCAGGAGAAACCCCAGCCTCACAAGAGAGTTCGTTGGAGAGACCCACAGGGTCCTACAAAGTACACAAACTGGGAATCATCACCAGAAGGGCCCAATTTGACTGTGAATAGTGAGGAAAGTGACTTAAAAGTGGCAGAGAGCTGAGCAATGGGCACTGTTCCCTCTTGAACCTGTCCCACATAAACAGTGTCACAATGCAGCAATGTGGGTTGCCCCAACCTGGTGAACACCTAAGGCCCCGCCCCTCACTACGTAACAAGTACACCCAGACAAAAAAAAAATGGCCCAAGTGAAAGAACAGATCAAAGCTCCACAACAAATACAACTAAGCAACAAAGAGATAGCCAACCTATAGGATGCACAGTTTGAAACACTGGTAATCAGGATGCTCATGGAATTGGTTGAATATGGTTGCAAATTAAATGAAAAAATGAAGGCGATACAAAGTGAAATAAAGGGAAATGTACGGGGAACCAACAGTGACAGGAAGGAAACCAGGACTCAAGTCAACAGTGTGGACCAGAAGGAAGAAACACTCGATGAGAACAGAATAAAGAAACAAGAACTAAAAAAAAATGAGAGGCTTAGGAATCTCCTGGACACCTTTAAATGTTCCAACATCTGAATCACAGGGTGCCAGAGGAGAAGAGGAAGAGCAAGAAGTTGAAAACTTATCTGAACAAATAATAAAGGAGAACTTTCCCAATCTGGCAAAGTAAACAGACTTCCAGGAAGTCCAGGAAGCTTAGAGAGTCCCAAAGAAGTTGGACCCAAAGAGGAACACACCAAGGTACATCATCATTATATTACCCAAGATTAAAATGAAGGAGAGAATCATAGAAGCAGAAAGAGAAAAAGAGACAGTTACCTACAAAGGAGTTCCCATAAGACTGTCATCTGATTTCTCCAAAGAAACCTTATAGGTAAGAAGGGGCTGGGAAGAAGTATTTGAAGTCATGAAAGTCAAGGACTTACATCCAAGATGACTCTATCCAGCAAAGCTATCATTTAAAATGGAAGGGCAGACAATGTGCTTCTCACATAGGTCAAATTCAAGGAGTTCATCATCACCCAGCACTTGTTTTATGAAATGTTAAAGAGACTTATCTAAGAAAAAATAAGGTAAAAAATATGAACAGTAAAATGACAACAAGCTCACAGTTATTAACAACCCAACCTAAAAACAAAAACAAATTAAACAAACAAGTAGAACAGGAACAGAACCACAGAAACGGAGATCACATGGAGGGTTATCAACAGGGGAGTGGGAGGGGGAGAGGGGGTAAAATGTACAGAGAATAAGTAGCATAAATGATAGGTAGAAGATAAACAGGGAGAGGGTAAGAATAGTATAGAAAAAATGCAGAAGCCAAAGAACTTACATATATGGCCTATGGACATGAACTAAAGGGGGAGAATGTGGGTGGGAGGGGGTACTCAGTGTGGAGGGGAATAAAGGGGGGGGCAATGGGACAACTGTAACAGCATAATCAATAAAACATATTTAAAAAAATAAAAATAAAACCCTAAAAAATGTAGATGCTTCAGCTAATTTCATTTTAAAGTCTTATGCTCTGTTACTTAACTGTTTCTTCAAGGTTGTAATACAAAAAATTTAGTATTTTTAATGTATATAATTGATTTCTTGATATTTGATTCATAAGCAGTGGATATAGTTTTGAATTGTATGAAAATGTAAAATTATCACACAAATTTCTAGGTGTTGATAAACCAAAAATAACTAGACTCTTACTTACCTTAAAAAATTCTTTTTTTTCAACCATCTCATCACCATCTGCATCCAGCATTTTAAAAGCAACATGGAACCCAGTATGGGGTTCTACGATCAAAAGAAAAATGAATATTTTGAAATGCAAATTATGTGTATATTTAAAGATTTTCAAATTTGAAATCAGCCATCAGAACCTACATGACTAAGTTCCTAAACACAGAAAAAAAAATCGCTTCTTATGTTAATGATTTTCAAAAGCTGGTACGTTTCCATGGATGTGCTGTTCTGCTATTAAGTGTGCTGCCCTTCGAATGAACAGTAATTTGAGAACTTCACTTTTTTTAGCTTTCTTATACTCTTATAAGACTATGGCTATTATCATATTGATTTCCTGTTCTCTTTATTTTCCTTTCTCAGAATTTTTTTAAAAACTTATTTTGAAATAATTTTAGACTTACAGAAATGTTGTAAAGATAATATGGTGGGTTCCCATATATTCTTCATCCAACTTCCTCTAATGCCAACATCTTAATAACCACAGTACCTTTATTAAAACTAAGAAATTAATACTTGTATGGCATTTTTAAACTAACTACAGACTTTATTTTGGTTTCAAGTTTTCCTACTAATGCTCTTTTTCCTATTCTAGGATCAAATACAGAAAACCATGTTGTATTTAGTTGTCTCCCTGTCTCTTCCAGTCTGTGGAAGTTTCTCTATCTCTCCTTGATTTTCATGACATTGACAATTTGAAGAGTACTAGTCTGGAATTATGCAGACTGCCAATGAGAAGTTTTTAAACACAGAAACTAAGGTACCAATAATATTTATAATGATAAAGACATAAAATACTAAACCTCCAAAATGCTGTTTCTTAAGAAATACAGAATTCCACATAATAGTTGAAAAAAAAGTGGATACTTACTAGTGAGGATTGTAAGCAAGAAGAGATACTCAGTGTATGAAATTAATCCTAGAAGACATAAAATAAAAACATTGGAAAATAAGGTTGAGATGGTTCAGAAGTAATCACATACATACTACAATATATGGAAAATTTATTAAAAACAGATTTTCTTGGAGAGAGAAGATGGCAGTGAGGTAGGTGGGAGCAGAGCCCAGTTCTCCCTGTGCCTAGCTGGAACACCTTGCTGATCTTCTGAGGAACAGAGTGAACAGCCAATGGAATCCCAGCTTATATAAAGTTTGGAGGCCAAAAATTGTAGAGGACATTGAAAAACAAATGGTGAGGAGATTGTGTTGGGACACTAAGGTCCCTGGTATGAGCAGGGACCTAGGCTGCCTCGGCCCTCAGCCCAGCACCTGCCATAGGATACATGAAGAATAGTTAGATCACCAGCTCCCTCCTGTACCAGACCAGGGAGGGCAGCCAGGCACCAGGAAGGACCTGGTTGCTTGAAGTCACTGGGTGGAATAGAGACAAAGTGGGAGACACACAGAGGCGGTATACACCCGCTGGGACTGTAGACATTGGCCAGATCATTGCCAGAGAAATTAGGGAGCTGGGCAATGCCTGGAGAAGGGAGAATTGCTGGGCTGAAACAGACCCTGACCTGGAGAGTCTCCAATCTGGTTAGAAAGCTGGGCTGTGTGAAAAGCCAGGCACTTGTTAAGAAAGGCAGGCTTAAACTATAGGCTTTTACATAAAAAAAAAAAAAAAGTTAAATAAAAATAAAATAAAACAAAACAAAAAATAAAATAAAATAATAAAATAAAAAATAAAATAAAATAGCTCATAGCTGGTGATTTGAGCTGTGTGCCAGCATTTAGCTTGGGCCATCACAGGATAGTGGAATCCAGCTGAGGGCCCTCTGGGACTTGGGCAGTTTGCCAGGCAGCTGATTCACCCCACTCACCCTACTGCTGACTCTAGATTCAGCATCACTTGCCTTGTGGCTGATTTAATCTGCTCGCAAGAGCTTGATTCATGCTGCTCACCCAGAGGCTGAGTGGCACCACATGACTGGAGCTGCTTGCCCGCAGTAGGTTCTGGTCACAGAGGGCTCATAAAGAGCAAGGAGGCGCACCGCATGTACCTTGGTGCAACTGGTGGGTTAATGGTGCAGGCCTGGTGCAGATGGACTGTGGGGGTCTGCAGCTCACGGAGGACCTGGGTTGGAGGCTGGGCAACTGTGAATATTGCTGCCCAGACCTGGTCCCTAACCTAGCAAAACCATAGCAAGGGAGAAAAGCAAAGCCCACCCCCTCCTTCTGTGGTATCCAGGAAGACCAGCAGAACTCACTCAATGGGTTTAAAGTCAGCAGGAGGCTTTTTTTTTAAACTCTCCCTCTTTTATTTTCTTCCCCCAAGTGAGACAATAAGACCTGGAATTGTGCAAGGTCCTGAGACAAATCCAAAGGGGGAGCACAAGGCTAATCCCCAAAACTGAGAAACTGAAACATGTTTCATTTTGTTATCCTATAGAATTAGCATTTCTTTATTTGTATTATTACTATTTTTAAATTATTTCTACTTCTTTTATTTTATTAGTATTTTTTATTTCTCTTGTTTCTGTTTGGTTTTCTTCATTTTAATCTGTTTAATTGCATTGTTTGACTGGTTTTCCTCATTCTCTCTTTCATATTGTATTTTAATTTTCATTCTTTCACTCATGTTCCAATAACACACTACTCTTGATCATGGTCTATTCTTGTTATCTAAATCACATATTTATCATATTATTATTGTTCCAGTACTATTGTAAATAATTGTTGTTTTACACAATTGTAAATACCACATAGCACCTTTACCTGATCTTAGCCCATTTATTTTATCCCTGAGCTTTATTACTGTTGTGGTTAACTATGCCTACTTTCTATCCTTTACTCTCACTACATCTCATCTAACCTTGCACAATTGATCTCTTTTTTGGATTCAGCTCACAATCCTCCTCCCCTCTAATAAGTGTCTCATCTCTCTTTCACCTTTATAAAAGTGGCTAGTTGGGTGAAATATCACAGTTAACGCTATACTTATACAAAGAATCTCCTATCTTTTCTCTACTTGCTGGTACTTTGAATCCCATGGAATACTCTCCCACTGTCTTAATCCATTTTGCCTACCCCTGCCATTTATCACATACAAGAATAGGCAGGAACTGTGAACATCAGTATACCCACTGCAGGAGAGAATTCACCAACAAAGGAACCACCAAAAGGTAAAAACCCAAGTACAACAAGAGAGCCCACACAAACAGAAGAAAGGGCAAACCAGACAAGAGCATCCAGACAAGGAGATCAGAGACCACACCACTAAATTCCATAGAATTCCTACCACAGAAGTTCACTATACAAAGGGAGCTAGCAAAGTGAAACATCAGGAAGGGCAGAAACAAACAAAAAGAGTCATCTAAAATGGGGAGACAAAAAAAGAACCTGTAATCAAAAGGAATGGAGGACTCCCAACTAAAAGAGGAAAATGAAATAGAGGTAAGCAAAATACCAAATACAGAATTCAAAATAATGGTTATAAAGATGTTCAAGGAACTCACAGACAACTACAAGGAATTGAGTGAGAATACAACCATATGAAAAAGGAAACAGAAAATTTCATTTCAATAGAAGAAATGAAGAATACAATTTCTGAAATAAAAAACACAGTAGAAGGAATTACAAGTAGGTGGGATGAAGCAGAGGACCGAATTAGTGAGCTGAAAGACAAGGTGGAAAGAAACACCAGGTAGAGCAGCGACACAAAAAAAGACTAAAAAAATATGAAGATAGCTTAAGGGAACTCCAAGATAATATGAAACGCAAAAACATGCAAATCATAGAAATACCAAAAGGAGAACAGAAGGAACAAAGGATAGAAATTCTGTTGGAAAAAATAACAACAGAAAACTTTTTAAACTGGGAGAGGGAAAAACCATGTAAGTTCAGAAAGCGTAGAGAGTCCTATCAAGATGAACCCAAAGAGGCCAACTCCAAGACGTATCATATTAAAATGCCAAGTATTAAACACAAAGAGAGAATCTTAAAAACAGCAAGGGAGAAACAAGAAGTAACATTTAAAGGGCCCTGATAAGGCTAGCAGCTGTTTTCTTAACAGAAACACTACAAGCCAGAAAACAATGGCAAGAAGTATTCCATGAAATGAAAAAGAAGGCCTGCAACCAAGATTCTTATATACATCAAGGCTCTCAATTAAAATGAGAGGTCAAATAAGGAGCTTCCTGGACAAAAGAAGGCTCAAAGAATACTCCCCCACCAATCCAACGGTGCAAGAGATGCTAAAAGGCCTGTTTTAAGAAAAGAAAAAAAGAGGGTGACAGAGAGAGGAACACAGGTACAAAGGAAGTAAAATGGCAATGAATAAGTACCTATCAATAATAACCTTAAATGTAAATGAATTAAATGTTCCAATCAAAACACACAGAATAGCTGAATGGATAAGAAATCATGACCCACACATATGCTGTCTGCAAGAGACCCACCTCAGAACAAAAGACCTACACAGACTGAAGGTGAAGGGCTGCAAAAAAATATTCCAGGCAAATGGACAGGAAAAAAAAGCTGGGGTAACAATATTCATATCAAGACAAAATAGACTTCAAAACAAGTGCCATAAAAAGAGATCACCTCATAATACTCAAAAGAAGAATCCATCAAGAAGACATAAACATTGTAAATATATAGGCACCCATACTGGGACAACCAAATACATAAGGAAAATCTTGGAGGACTTCAATTAAGATATTGATAGCAACACAATTACGGTGGGGGAGTTTAACACTCCACTGTCAAAAATGGACAGATCTTCCAAACAAAATATCAACAAAGATATTGCAGCACTGAACAATGTCCTAGATCAAATGGACTTAACTAACAGATATATAGAACCTTTCATTCCAAAGAAACAAAATACACATTCTTTTCAAACGCACATGGAACATTTTGAAGATAGATCATATGACAGGACACAAAACAAGCCTCAACAAATTCAAGAAAATGGAAATCATATCAAGCATTTTCTCTAACCATAAGGGACTGAAACTAGAAACCAACCCCCCCCCTAAAAAAAAACACTCAAAAACACTCAAACTCATGGAGATTGAATAGCATGCTTCATGGAGATTGAATAGCATGCTGTAAGTCTCAAGGAAGAAACCAAAAAGTTTCTGAAAACAAATGAAAATGAACTTGCAACAATCCAAAACTTATGGGACAAAGCAAAGCCAGTCCTGAGAGGGAATTTCACAGCAATAGAGACCTACCTAAAAAAGACAGAAACATTTCAAATAAATGACCTAACCCTACACCTCTAAGAACTAGAGGAAACAAAGACAGCTGACAACAAGTGGAAGGAAAAAAATAATCAAGATCAGAGCAGAATTAAATGACATAGAGACTAAAAGCACAATCCTAAGGATCAATAAATCCAGGAGCTTGTTCTTGGAAAATATAAGAAAATTGACAAGCCTTAAGTCAGACTCATCAGAAAAAAAAGAACCCAAATAAACACAATCAGAAATGAAAGAGGAGAGATTACAACTGATACCACAAAAATACAAAGGATTGTAAAAAATTACTATGAAGAACTATATGCCAAGAAATTTGAAAACCTAGGTGAAAATAAACAAATTTCTAGAAAAACATAATCTTCCAAAATTGAAGAAGGAGAAGCAGAAAGTCTGAACAGACCAATAACAGCAGAAGAAATTGAAGTAGTAATCAAAAAACTCCCAACACACAAAAGCCCTGGAGCAGGCGGTTTCACAGGAGAATTCAAAAAAATATTTAAGGAAGAGCTAACCCCTATCCTTCACAGACTATTCCAAAAAATTCAAGAAGATGAAAGATACGCCAATTTTTTTTTTATGAAGCCAGCATCATCCCGATCCCAAAACCACATAAAGACACAACAAAGAAAGAAAACTTCAGGCCAATATCACTGATGAACATAGATGCTAAAATCCTCAACAAAATATTGGCAAACCACATCCAGCAATATGT